GAGAGAACAGTTAGTTTCATTTCGGAGTTCACCTAACTGCTCAGAAAGTTAGCAACCGGTTCTCGCGAAGTGGTGCGAACTGGCTGAATCCCACCACTAGAACAAGGTCAGCCAATGAATAGGCATAGCAACTAAGTCAACCAATGGGAGGTAAAATAGATCTGAGTCTGTGCTGAGAATTGAAACTGAAACTAGTCTTGTCTCTGTCTGCTCTGAACTCTGAAATGAAACTCTTCTCTCCTGCTTGCGTTCTGCTTGTAACTTCTACCACATTGAAAGAATCTACTATTAGTATTGTACATTTATTCATCTGTTATTATGTATATAAAGAAGTTAATGAATCCGGCTGAATCAGTCATCTGTGTGTGCTTTCTGGATTTGATTTTTCTGCAACAAAATCTGATAAATTGGGTATGCCACATGGTGACTTGCTTAATGATCATCCCAACATAATTATGGGCTTAATTGGTTATAAGTCAAGAACTGCCTATAGTTTATCTGATTTGATTAGTATATTCAAGCCAATTATATGATTATCCAGGATTATAGGTTAAACCAGCCATGGTTCATGATATGATATAAACTCAAGCTGAATTTTAGAATGGAAAATGTCCAAAGTTCAGATCCCTTCTGTAAATTAGTTGAGTGGTCTCAAACAAATCCTTAGTTTGCCCATTCAATGAGATTTATTAACAGCTCCTGTTAAAGAATGGATGACTAAAAGACTTTGCATTTTGTAGGGAAGGTTCTGGACTTGTTCTGCTGTCAAGCTGCCCAAACACCACCCGATATCTCCAAGATTTTTATAGTCAGCGCAAGAAGAAAAAACATCCAGTTGCTACTTACTGGTGAGAAAACATTTTCTATTGTTTTCCTTTTGGGGGGATGAGCATGAAAGTGTGAAATAATTAGTTTCCTCAGTTGGAAAATTTGCAATCCAAGTATCTGGAGAGCATCAGTTAAGGAAAGCTTTTCCTAAAGAAACATTTTATTTTTTTCATGCACTTTCCCTATTGTTTCCAAAGCATTGCCTGATATCCTTCACTTTGCAGTGCTGTTACTACCAGGACTCCAGTAGCTACGGAAGGAGAAATTAATACAGGCCTCAAGATGGTGGACGTTGATGGCTTTGACATGGTAAGGGTGGGTGGGTGGGGATATGGATGGGGGAGCTTTAGATTGTGGTTCTGGAAAGCTTGTAGCTGCTGTTCTGGACAAGAAGGGTAATAGATTCAGAAAAATCCCAGTATTGCCAATCTGGAATTGCACTTCCTGCCTTGGGCACAGATTTAGTTAGGTGATGTGGGAGAAGAGCAAGCAGACCTGGGGAGGGCGGAGTTAAATGCATCATCAGTTTAGAATCCTTGCATCATCACAAAAGAAGTCTGGCCCCACCCACCCCCTCTCTCCCGGAATTCCGTTGACTCTTGTCTAGCACCAGTTTAATGCTGACCGTTAGTTGACTAGATTCTTGTGTGTAGGCTTGAATAATAAATTTTCTGTGATGGGGCTTAACATATGGTCTTGACTCTTTGCACTTGACTGGTAACCTACTAGGTGCTAATGCTGATGTTTGTCTGGATTACAGGTAGTGCCGGTGGCTTCCCCTTCTCGCAAGAGCCTCCAAGCCAAGGAGGTGAAAAGGACACTGTCGTACTACAAAGTGCTAGACTCAAAGGAGGGCTGTGCCCTGTTGCAGCTGCAGCCAGTGACAAGTGAGTTACAGTAGGGCAGAGGAGGCCTAAAGGGGCAACAGCCCAAAGTGGGCAATTAAACTCTCCTGAAAAACAGATTACAGGTAGCCCTTCTTTAATGTGCATTAATACGGTGAACAGCATTCCGTGCACCTTTGGCATTTAGTTATGCTGGCCACATGACCATGGAGACGTATTTGGACAGCTCTTCGGCTTTGAAACGGAGATGAGCACCGCTCCTAGAGTCAGGAACGGCTAGCACACTTATGTGAGGGGAACCTTTACCTTTTAATCCAGTGACCATTAGAAGTTATAGTGGTGCTTTATGAGAGGTACTTAACAATGGTCCTCGTAATTGCACTGCAGTCATATGATTGCTATTTGGGACCTTGGCAACCAGTTCCAAATTATGATGGCTGTCATATGATTGCTATTTGCCGCCTTCCCTGCTGACTTCTGACAATCAAAGTCAGTGGAGAAGCTTGCAGGAGGTTGCAGATGGCAGTCACACGACTGTGGGATGCTACGACCATACAGGATTCACTTGGCAGCAACAAGAATTGCTGGAACAGTCGTTATAAGTTGGCAGGCCCACATGACCATGTCCCTTATGACTGCATTGCTTAGTGATGGAGTTCCCAGTCACAATTCCCAATCTCAGTCATTGAGTAAAGCGATTGTTAAGCAAGACGCTCACATGACTGCTTTGCTCAGCAACCACAATCCCGGCATTCTGATTGCAGTTGTTAAGATCAGGTTGTGATTCTCATAGTTGTACGTAAGCTATTATTTTTATTTGATTTCCTACAAACTGAATGGAATTTGAGGGTATCATTTATATAGAGGATGGGGCTTCCCTGGCAAGTTGACTATTACATTTTCCTGTACCTCTTAGTTTCTTTTATAAAATTTTATCATTTTAATGGTCTTTCTTGGCCTTTTCTTTTGCAACTCCACCCCAAATGACCTGTTCTTATTCTTCCTGTGTTTTTTCCATGTCCCATCACTTCGTTGTTTCTCTACTTATTTCCAAACAGTTTGCAAAATGCATGCTGGGGAAAAAACATGTACTTAAGCCTTGGCCTTTCGAGTCCTACACAACGGTGTAGATTGTATTTTTGGGAGAGGGGATTGGGAGAGAGTGAGGAAGCGTTATTCTTTTTATTTTATCTTATTTTTGGATGTTGTGTGTAGAGTCTTACAGTGATGGCGAGTGCTCAAACCGGAACACATGTGCATGCATGGAAAATGGCCTGGAAAACGGCCTGTTTTTTGGCTGTTTTCCGGGCCGTTTTCTCAGGCCGTTTTTCGGCCAAAAACAGCCTGAAAAATGCCCAGAAACGGTCCAAAAATGGCCTGTTTTTTGCCTGGTTTTGGCTGTTTTTCGGGCCATTTTTCAACACTCCAGCATTTGTGAAGACCAGATGGAAACCAGAAGAGCAGCTGGAGAGCTCTGCGTGCCACAGGTTCCTCATCATGGCTCTATTATAAGTCTTTAAAAAAAAAACTTAGCAGTTCATGCCAAACCATTGGAGTTGGAGCTGATGTTTCTTAGTGGGGATGGCCAGCTTCAGGTGTTGTTATTCTTCTCTTGTGTTCTCTGTGGCAGCTTTCCGGAACCAGCTGCAGGTACACCTGACCTTGATCCTGAGCCCTCTGCTAGGAGACCACATGTATTCGTCTCGGGTGGGAACAGTTCTTGGAGAACCTTTTCTCTTGCCTGCTGAGGAGACTCCGCCCCGGACACAGGTACCAAATTGCAAAATAGAAATTGATCCTGCAGTCTAAGATATGTAGAGACATTCTATGCAGGTAGTCCTCGACGTACGACCATAATGGAGCCTGCCCCTTACAGTGGTATGTTGTGACTTGTCACGTTTCGGTGTTCCGCGTAACACCGAAAAAAGAAAAGCCAGTAACACAGGTTGAGGTGGGACTGTTCATCTAGAAATGTGGTCTCAGCACAAAGCGACCATCCAGAAGGAATTAAAGTTTGTGCTACCATGGTTAGTTCACCCACCCCGTGTATTGTGCTCCACTTCCCCCTTGTGTTTTATACCCCTGCCCTCCTACCAACTGTTTGCTGCCAGTCCGGACGCTGCAGTCCGGCCACGCCCCTGGCCGCCCATCCAGGCTTAGCCCCTCAGTCTCTTGCTTCCTCCCGCCCTCCAATGATCAGCTGTTTTCCTTCACGATGGCCCCACTAACCAGTCGGCAACCCCATGGATGCAGGAGTCGTGTGAAGTGGGCCGTTGGCGTGTGTCTGGAATGCCATCCCAGGTAGTGGCGGTGGCTCCCTGGCAGGGTGGTATGGCCGCTGATGCCCATGCGCGCGCGTCCCAGTTGGCCACTCCTCCCCCACCTGAATGGCAGCCCTGGGCCGTCTGGCAGTCTGGGGCTGACAGTGGCGGTCATAAAAAAGAGTTGAGTCATGTGACTGACCTGATTTTATGAAATTTTATGGTAGTTGTTAAGCGAATCGACATGGTGGTTAAGTGAATCCAAGGTCTTTCAGCGAACCAATGGTTTGCTGTGGGTCGTTTTGCTGAAAGCCAGACATTAGTCCTGGTTTTGGACAAAACCATCATGAAACAGTGTCACATGACCGAGGGACATTGCAAATGCCCTTAGTGTGATTGCATTTTGGTTGCTTGGCAGCCAGCTTGCCTAACGGCCCTTGGCAGCATCCCACAGTCACATAACCACATTTTTTGACATCCGTGGAGATTCTCAGTCATCCAGGTCAAGGTTGTCCCAAAGGTGTTTTTTTCAAAAGGCAACTGGATTTTGTTTTTCAGCCGGAACTGAAGAAGCTTCTGGGATGAGAAGCAAAACATCTTCAAGGAAAAACTAAGACCAGTTGCCTTTTGAAAAAGCACAATTTGTTGACATTTTTAAAATTGGTTTCCAGCATTTACTTCTGTTTTCTTGCTGGGGAAAAACACTCATTGGATAAAATACATTCACTTAACAATCACCATGTTCACTTAACAATCACTGTTAATAAACCACCCAGGTCCAGTCACATGGTAGCTTACTTAATAATTGCAGTGATGTACGGCCGTTAATTCTGGGCTCAATTCTGGGCGCAAGTCGGGAACCCGCTGTAAAATAACAATTGGAAGTAGGTTGACATAGGAATTATTTATAGTAGCATTCTTTCTCTTCCTCTCCCAACCTCTTGATAGGCTCTGGAGGAACATATGATGCAAAAGCTCCGGTTACGGCCACAAGTGATGTTTCGCTTGCAGCTCCACCTCCACCTCCACCAACTTCTGCTCCCTGAGGGTTGCTGTTCTTCCTGCACTCTATTGGTGGCGCCCCCTCCTCCTTTTTTCCTCCAGACACTTCGTAGCCTCGGACTTAACCTGCCCCCTATGAGCAGCAAGCAGTGAAAAAGTCTGCAAAGCATTTGTCCTGGATTCGTTCACTGCTGACAACCCAGTCAAGTGGATGCAGCTGCCGTTAAAATCTAGGCCCACACAAGGAAAAGGTCATGTCATTGTGGAAGAAAGCTTCTGCTCCTTCTGGGAAGAGGCTCAGATGTATTCCACCACAGTTGCTTGAATAGGTGGCGTACAAATGACTGGCAGTGGAAAAAATGCTTATCAAAAAGTATGAGAGGAAGGAAATTTCTAAGTAAAAACCTCCTTTATAACTAGTTGGTATAATCTGGCTACAGAAGGTACCATATTTTTTGGAGTGTAAAACACACTTCCCCCCTCCCCCCAAAAGACGGTGAAGATTTGGGTGTGTTTTATACACCGAATATAGCCCTGCCCACCTGCTGGCCCCCATCCTTCGGCCTCCGCCGTCCTCTCAAACAGAGCTTTTGGAGGTTGCAAACTCAGCTGCTCAAATGGAGCTTTCAGAGGGTGAAAAAGAAAGGTGCAGAAGCCAAAATGGCTACCTGGAACAGCTGCTACCTTGTCGGACCGGTTCCGCACTTCGCCTGCTGTACTCACTGGACCGATCAGCTGCATTTTTGAAGCTGTGTATCTGCCCCAACGAGGCACGTGTGAGTGTAGTGATTGTATGCACACGGGCTTTCACAATCAACAAACCTGTTGTAAAGTTTACCTATGGGAACAGCTGATGGGTATTCCAGGAGGCTGATCCACCAGCCAATCAGCTGCTTGTGCTGAATCAGGCTAATGTGCTGAAGCTGACCAGGCTGTTTGCTAAGGACACTAGCCAGATGAATATCAATGGATGCTGGTAGGCAGAGGCAGGATTTTCCCCCTCCTTATTTTCTTCCTCAAAAACTAAGGTGCGTCTTATATTCCAAAAAATGCAGTATTTTAAGGTGGGTATTTCTGCATCCAGGCAGAGAAAAGTTAGGGGAATGTTTTTTTCAAACTATTTTTAGTTATCAAGTGAGCTAACATAGTGAAAAATGCGAAGGAGAGCCCTGAATTTGCAGAACGATTTTGCCAATAAATTACTTCTTTGGCGTACAGTACAGTAGGCGGTTGCTGCTGATTCCAAAGAAAAATATTTATGTCCTGTTCTCGATTGCATGGAGCTCAGAGTTTTCAGGTCAAAAAGTTCTCTAATCCACTCTTAAATATTCTCCGAGTGACTTGGATCATGTAACAGTAACTGTTTCAGCCGCTGTTGTGCTGTTGTGGATTAAAAATAATAAAATTGAAAATAGTTTGATCGTACAAGATGTCAGCATTTCATAAACCATTTTAATTAGTTTTCAGGATACAAATTACTTCAAAGTTGTCCTGGTTACTAACATGGGCTCTGTTGATGTTGCTTGGATTAGATGTCATTATTAAACCCAAAAGATAAATGTTAATTAAGAGATAGAGTGAGAGCAATACAACTGTTTTTTTTCCAAGGCTTTTAATTATTAAAATTCAACTAATGATAAACAGCAGACACTTCACCTAATCTTCCTCATCTATCACCTTTATCATTTCTGGACACAGGCATTTTAAGTTTTGCAGTTCTCATAAGTTGAAAATAAGTACACATATTCAAATATGTGCCTATTCCTTTGCAGCCGGCTCTTTTTCATTAATATTCTGGGTGAATGGCCCTTTCTGATTTGAAAGTTTGCCTTCTGCTAACGAACACCCTCTCTCCCTGTTTTGTAAGGGAGAAGCATGATTAATTTGAAAATCACTTGGCTCCTGTATGGACTTTGGACACAGACTGTTATCAGGGCCAGAGATTTACCTTCCTTTACAAAAGCTTTCCTCTGCAAAAACCATTGGAATCTTTGGCTACTAGTTAGTGAGAAGACTCTTAAAATGAGATAGCCAGTACTTGGATATTTTTCATAAGCTTTGCCCATATCGGTAGACAGCTTATTTCAGGCACCAAGTTCTACCCATTCTCTTTTAAAGTTCTGCTACAACAAGGAATAAAAGTTGTGTTCAGAAATGGGCAAGAAGCAGCAAATTATATGTGGTGTTAGGCCTGATGCAACTATATTATATGATGCAACTATATTATATGGACAAGAGAGAAAAAAGAGGAACTGAAATTTAGCCTTCTATAGCGTTTGCAACATCTGGAAAACATGTATATGAATTATATGCAACTTTTGTTAGGCTGAAGATCTAAAATACTTGATCTTGGAGTCCTGTAGAGACTCATGAACAAACCAAGAATTTTGGGAGCCAAAATAACACTCCAAAATTGTGCAAGTATATGTGGCAATATTATTTTTAAAGTACCCTTGTACCCTTGTATCTACCAATCCGCCCACTTGCAGATAAATCAACCCTTGAATTTTAACCAAAATACCATAAAATACATCACATGCAGATAAACCAACTGTGAAAATTAAAACAGAAAAAAAATATTAAGGGTCGGCTTATCTTATAAATGTGGCTTATAAGTGAGCATGTGCGGTAATGTTTTGGTGACTGCAATCCAGAAAGTGGCTTAAATTATGAATTAGAATGTGCATAATGCCTATGCCTTAAATGTGTTGGCTTAATGTTGGAATCCAGTAACATTCAGAAGAGCACAGCTTCCCCATCCCTTATTTTGCATAAATGTAGGTGTCTGAGGAAGCAGTTCTATTAGTTGTAAGAGTAGTTCTGTAAAGAATGGTGAGCATCTAAAAGTTACTTGTGTTCTAAGGCAGTGTTTTCCAACCCTAGCAAGTTTAAGATGCGTGGACTTCAATTCCCAGAATTCTGGGAGTCAAGGGTTTGAAAGATTGAGAATCCCTGTTCTAAGAAAATTTCTATATGTAGAACATAGACATCTCTATCCCACGTGCAGTAAGAACTGCTAATGGAGAAAACATTATTTCTAATGCTTGTTCCAGCTTTTGTTACTTTATATAAATGATTATCCCATTTTCCTCTTTTTGATAGCACCGAAAAAGGTTTTGACTTGTTTGCTTTAAATATTGAAACAGTTCTCCAAGGATTTAGACTAGTAGATTACAAAAGTAAAATTTATTGTTTTACAAAGACTTTTACAAACCACACTGTTACAAGACCTGAGTGTAAATATGTTAATAGTAAAATAAAGAAGATATATTTGATTACCTAAAATACATGCTTTATGGATTGTAATAAAATTTATAAATACATAAAAAATTTGGCATCCCATTGCATTCTTTCCCATTTTAAGAAAAATATTTTATGCATATTAATGGAAATCTGAAACACTGACATTTATCACAGTTGAGGGGGTGGGATATCCACTGTATGACACAGGCTCCTTTTTAAGTATGGTGCCAGGGCTAGTAGAAAATACATGGAATATATTTATACGGAAATAGCATGCTAGAATATGTGGGAACTTGAAGCTCATTTATTTAAGAATCAGTCTTGTGCCAGAGTAAATTAGTCCATCTGATCTAGTGATTTCTAACCCTGGATCTTAAGTTGATGAGAGAGTCAGTCCTACAGTGCTTGGAAACCTAAGTTTAGGAATAACGAAAGCCATGATTAAACATTGCGGCTGTTAATATCTCACCAAGATCACAAGCCGAAGACTAAACAAGTCCCATCTAAGGACATTTTGTAGACTGAATGGGGTCTGGAACTTTTCGAAAACAAAATGTGTACATTATGATCAATTTGATTTCCTTCACTCAAGAGATTAATTTAATCTCTGAGAAAGGCCTTGGAAGACCCAAATAACAGTTACAGTCATAGTTCAGGAGGGCAGAGTAAGTTACCTAGGTTACCAGGTACTTTACCTCCACTCTAAGTCATGTTCTCCATGCAAAAGCAATAAAAGGTGGAGCTGAATATGCTCTGGTTATTATGAATTACTCCTCCCCCCCCAAAAAAAAGCCCAAAGGGGGGGAACCCCTCAAAATACCATCTTTACATGCGTTGTATAAAAGTGTAACCATACTTTGCTTAATTATTTGCTGAAGAAAAAGGTCAAAAAGTCCTATTAACCAAATTCTGAACAGGAAAATGGGACCTCCAAAACTAATCAGTCGAATAATACATCCACCACCAAAAAAAATCAAAATTAGCGAGTGGCTTAAAAGAAAGCAAACTTGCAATTATTTTTCTTCTATGCTCAAATGTCCAGCGTAAACAAGAGTTCTTGACATTTACTACCATTTTGATGATAACTAAATACAATAATATGAAAACAAAGCAATTATAGAAACAGGAAAATGTCCCCAAAGTAATGAGTTTGAATTGCTGTTAAGGGCATCGAGCTATGAAGAAGCCGAGAAAGCTCTGAAGTATTTAGAAAGGAGTGAGGCTGGAAAGAACCATTTTAGAATGTTCTAGTAATGTTGGAATATTTTTGAAGGAGAAATACAAATAGACGAGAGGAAACAGCAAGGAAAAGAATATGCCGTGTCACAGGAACATACAGTTTCACGGGAAGTGTGGAGATTCATTATTGATTTAGAGCTTTCTAGATAAGAATTAACCTAGATTGTGCCTCAAAATATGGACAGTAATATGTAGAACAGAAGTGGGAACTGATCTCATTCCCAGTCAGTATGAATAATGGAAAGTTGGTATTTATAATCCAGTCATTTTTGTTGGGCCAGTTTTTTCTCTTTAGTGGAGCATTTCCATGGGTGGGAGCATATCCTGAACTGAAACTATGGGACACCTAGTAAAAAGCATGCTTATTTATAATAAAGTGATCATTGAAACATTTTTAACATACCCCAAATCTATGAGTCATCTCATGTCTCGACGTCTTTCTGCAGCTAAACATTTAATAGCACTCCAATTGCTAGCACTGTCACCTGAGTGACAAGCTGAAGCAATCCAAGCAATTTCCAAACTTTCCACTTTAGATTATAATCCCCCAAAACAATTCAAGGTAATGTGCTGCTGTGGCCAAATGGTACGTCCTACCTGTATCAGTAGGTTGTACAATGTTACAAATGCATTCCCACTGCATTTGGCTACAACTCATTAAAGCAGCCATGTCCTTTCCCAGTATTCTGGAAACGGGCATGGCTACTTTCCTGAATCACAGAAAAGTGCTGCGGGCATGCCTCCACATACTCCCTATCATCTTTTCGGCATCACCACAGAAACCTCTCACAGCCCTGCCAACCAGAAGTAACCAAATTGAAGCAGGTTGTACTCTTAAACGGTGTTAAGGCAGGCGCAAGGGCCACTGGAGATGTAAAGCCATCCTTTTCACCTTTTAAGTCCTGTAGAAGATTTTTCCAGGACATATACTGCCAATGTCATCCCTCTAAAGCAGTGTTCCTCAACCTTGCCGGCTTGAAGATTTGTGGGCTTTAACTCCCACAATTCCACAGCCAGCATGGGTTTCCAATTGTTTCCCCATTCTTCACTGGCCGCCTCTGCAGATGCCCATTTTCGTAGTGAATATCCGATTGTTATAAAGGAGTCAAATGGCTGAGCTGCATTTGTGTGTAGTGGATTTGAAGGAAGTAAGATGGAAGGTGAATATTGAGTAGGAAAACACAGACTCGTACAGAAGGGAAGGTGAGGGAAAGGAGGGACATGGAGAAAACACATTTAGAAAGATGTATTTTGGCAAGATGGAGGGTTGAGTTGGCTGCCCCGCACTCAGATACATAGGCACATATGGGCAGTGATTATGTTGGCACGTAAGTTGGATGGCACCATAGAATTATTGTGAAATATCCACACTGTTGGAACAGGACGTTCAAAATCATTTTCTGTCTCCTCCCAATACAGCATTTAGAAGCATCAAACGCACCACCAAGGCTATAAAACTGCATAAATTATTCATTAAAACAATGCTAGAAACTGCTTTTTTTTTTTAGAAGAATGAAGGATTATTTTCTGAATTGGCTCCTCTGTTGCAAGCACAGCCTGTAGACTGAATCTGGAATGCTGTTTTCTCCTCTTCTTTGCTTCAATGGCCCAGATGTTTCTTTGCCTTTGACGAATTCAGTCTTATTATTCCCCATAATAATTTCCCATGGTTTTCAGTCATTTCCCTTCTTTTGTGTCAAAGAGGAACGGAGTCACACAAAAGAAAACCACTTATTTTCCAGTGAGCGAGAACTTCAGAACATCCTCCAATCACAGGAAAGAGCCACAGCAGGAGTCAAATTCCCCTTTCTGAATGACACTTATTTTTTTTGAGATTCCCAGCACCAACTTGAAAAAAACTTTAACCATTCAAAAGAAAAACACAAAAAAAAATTGGCTTGGCCAAGCAAGGTGAATTCCTAAGGGCCACTCCCATGGAGCAAGTCCTCCCTGCTTTATCAGAATGAAGAGACAGAATCAGCTGCCAGGGTAGAATTAGTCAATGAGGATTCAGAATCTTTCCCCCCCACAGGAGGCAAGACAGACATCTGGTTGTCAAAAGCTGGTACAAGAGGTGGCAGCTGCTGCTGATCCTAGGCACATGGGTGGAGAAAGGACGAATGGTTACGGGATGGGGAAAATGAAACAGGTCCATTGGGGGCAGGGATGGGGGTGACATCTTTGCAACAGGCTAGAATCGGACATAGGTTTGGGCCATTCTCTTGATAGTTGGGGGATGCGGGAGGAAACACAGGGAGGCCATCATTATTTGACATGCAGGATTAATCAGGAAATATTCCTAGGCAAGAGGAATGTGCTCTCTCCTATGAGCACTTAAAAATTCACAATATACCTGAGCCGGGCAAGTGCTGAGTGCTTTGCGGTAGAAGAATTTGGGAGCTGCAGGAAGTAAAGGCTCAGCTCTGGAACAGTAACGCAGCCTTTGCAAATTTGCCACAGCCTTTCCATCTCTGCAGAAGAGGCAGGGGAGCCTGCAGGAAACAGCCAGGCCTGGAGAGGAACCAATAATACAGCACATGGGCTTACTGGCGAGTACGTGGACGGCTCTAAACAATGAAACATCCTTTCAATGCAGCCGTTCAGTCAAAGAAAACAACAACAACCCCAAAGCTACAGAGCAGACTTAGAAATTACCTAGAAATTGCCTGAGTCAACTGAAGGGTGGTAGTAGACAGTATTAGGCTATGTCCCTTCCCAAACTAATCATGGATTAAGTCACACCTACTAGCAAACCATAAAGACAAATTTCTAGAGAGCGTCCCCATCTGGTTTTGTCCAGAAATGGCTATTCTCAAGAATATTGGGCATCGTATTTCCACATACCGTATTTTTGGGACTATGAGGTACCGGTGTATAAGACGCATCAAGATTTTGAAGAGGTAAGTAAGAAAAAAAGCTTTTGCTCTTCCTGACCCCCAGGATCACTCTGCAGGCTTCAGCAGGGCTGGGGAAAGGCAAAAATGTCCCCGTTTTTGCAAAAAAAAAACCCAACAACAGGCAGAAAACGGGCCATTTTTCACAAAAATGGGGGCATTTTTGCCTTCCCCCAGCCCTGCTGAAGCCTACAGAGTACTTCTTGGGGCTTGGGGAAGGCAAAAACTCATTTTTGCAGAAAATGGACCAATTTTTTAAAAAGTGGGATGCTGTAGCAGAGCTTCGGGAGGCCAAAAATGGCTGTATTTGGTGTATAAGATGCACCAACATTTCCATGCTCTTTTAGGGGGAGGAAAGGGGCGTCTTATACTCTGAAAAATATGGTAGTTGGAGGGCACTGATTAAGGGATTGTGGTGGAATGTAGTCTAGATTCCCAGGAGGGAGCGGCTGCATTCCCAAGAGGCAGTAAAGCTTAGCTAGTCCTCTGAGTACAATTCTCAGAGTACATATTCTATGCTACAAATGGTTTGGCAAGATTCTGTCTATAGGGGAGGAACAATAAACTGCTCAAAAGTAATTCTACATGTCTTTCTTGGTTTTTGGAACCTGACAGTGAGGCAGTTCTAGGAGGTAAAAGGATTATTCTGGGAGAAATATAATTGGGCCGAAAAGGTAAAGGTTTCCTCTTTCAGTCCTCCCTGACTCTAGGGGATGATGCTCATCTCTGTCGTGACCCGTCAAAACCGCGGTCCACTAAAGCGCGCCCGATTAAAGTGCGTACCTGACGTCATCAGCAGCGCGACAAATAAAATTAAAAATAAATTAAATTAAAATTAAAATTAAATTAAAGCAAGCCGATTCACATAAAGGTAAGGGTTAGGTTTAGGGTTAGGGTTAGGGTTAGGTTAAGGGTTAGGGTTAGGTTTAGGGTTACGTTAAGCGTTAGGGTTAGGTTTAGGGTTAGGTTAAGGGTTAGGTTTAGGGTTAGGTTTAGGGTTAGGTTAAGGGTTAGGCTTAGGGTTAGGTTTAGGGTTAGGTTTGGGGGGGTTAGGTTTAGATTTACGCGTTAATTTTAAGTTTACTGCTCACAGCGTGCTGTTTTCATCACGCTGTGATGACGTCACGTACACACTTTCGTCGAGCGCGCTTTAGTCTACCGCGGTTTTGTGGTGGAACCCATCTCTGTTTCTTAGCCGAGGGAGCCAGTATTGTCTGAAGTCTTCCATGGACATGTGGCCAGCATGATTATATGCTGAGGCAACACACTGTTACCTTATCACTGAAGTGGTACCTATTTATCTACTCACATTTGCATGTTTTCAAACAGCTAGGTAGGCAGGTCTCAAACCCAGGTTGTCAGCTTTCCAGCTGACAAACTCAGCCTCTTTAATCACTGAGCCATTGTGCCCTCTTCACATGAGCCAAAGGGCGTGCCAGAACTATACACTAATCGCAAACCACGGGTTCTCCTTATTGGCAGGGGCCCTTCAAACAGCAGGTTAAAAATACCTTGAGCGTAGTAAATATTATGTGAACTATAGAAAAAAGGGAGCAGCACTTTTCAAAATGGATGAGACGGAAATCTGGAGAAAAGGAAGGGGAGGAAGATTCTCTTGGGGTTTTATGGGCTGACTGAGGGATGCTTTTGCTGCGTTGTCTAGGAAGGAGATATGGCCGAACAAAACCTGTATTGCAATTTCTCCGATGAGCACTCCTGTGATATAACTGTGAAATGAGGTGGGGAGAGACCTCAACTGCAATATTTTTATCACTGTATCTCAGAGATGGTGCTGCATAATGGCTTGAGAATACAAACCAGGTAACATCTGATCTCAGTCACAAAATTCATAGAGATAGCAGATAGCAGATTTCTACAAAGAATGGAGAGTCCTTGCCAACAACCAAAGCTGTCATTTCAGCTTGGAGATTCCCCACATCATGGCTTCTAGAGATTTAGTTTACAGTATTCATTTACATGTTATTGGGACAATAAATGAAATCTACAATAAAATACAAGTACTCCTCGCTTACTGACTACCCTTTCAAAGTTAAGACAGTGCTGAAAAAAAGAGACATATGACCATTCCTCAAATTTGTGACTGTCGCAGTGTTCCCACACTCACGTGATTGTGATTCAGGTGCTTGGCAACCAGCACACATATACAATGTTCACAGACTTCCACAGTCAATGTGATTGTTTATTTGCAACCTTCACAGCCAGATTCTGACAAAGCCAATGGGGAAACTGGCAGGAAGTCACAAGTCACAGTCACGTGACATTGCATTTAACAACCTGGGGTAATTTGTTTAACAACCGGGAGTGCAAGCTGATACCCTAAGTAGACATGGTCGCAAGACAATTTACTTTACAATCACTCTGCCTACAAAGTTGGCCAGTCCTTGTAAATGAGAATCACCTGGAATACACTCTCAGCTCTGCTCCTTCTCCTCTTCCCCCAATAATATTTAAGCCAATATTTTGGGGCCCTTCAACATGCTTATTTCTCGTTGGTTTGGTTTTCTTTGAAGTTCTTGCCTCAACTTTTCACCTCTCAATATCTTTAAGCAGAGCCCTTTAAAAATTCCCTGTTGAACTAAAAATTTTATGAGATATCAATGTGGCACTGTTAAATGTGTGGGAACAATCATACTAGCTGTATTTAATAAGTCTGTACAGTACTTTGAATTTAATTCTGAAAGATGCCTTTGAGGCAGTGGTGGGATTCAAATAATTTAACAACCGGTTCTCTGCCCTAATGACCAGCTGGGTAGGCGTGGCTCACTGGTCATGTGACTGGATGAGCATGGCCAACTCAATGTCACTCATGTCGATGGGCGCTTTGCCTTAGCTGTTAGAATGTAATAAGGGTTAACCGGAGAGGCAGTTTCTGTAAGCAGGGCAATAAAGATTAGGCAAGAAACAACACCAGAATGTTTCCTTCCTGCCTTCCTTACAGGATTAGCCCTGTAAAGTGGGGAAAAAAAAAAGGAGATTTCTTCCAACAACCAATTCTCCGCACTGCTTAGAAAGTTAACAACCGCTTCTCCCAAATAGGTGCGAACTGGCTGAATCCCACCACTGGTTTGTGGTCAATAAAACATTATTGTTCTAAGAATTGCAGACAGCTGTTATATTTAGGTACCTACATATTTTAAAGCACCTTTTTGAATGAAACTCAAAGCACCATATTCATGAAATCCAGTTTTTGTTTTGCCCTTGCTTACCTTTTGGATCATGTCCCCCAACGCACCACTTAAAAGCCAAATATGGCTCTTGTCATGCCAACCAATTAATGCCACCCTGCTTTTCAATTTATGGATGAATATACAAAGTGGAACACGATACATCACGTTGTCTCCAGAGAGTCAAAGCATGTGATCATTCTATAGAGACATTTCCCTTTATATTTTTATAACAATTTTATAATAGATTTTAAAAGACAAAAACTCTCCGTTTCAGTGTTAGAAGCAATGTGCTGCAATGTATGAGGAATTCTGGATCATAAAGGGGATTTTAAAAAGAGTGGACCTGGACATTTTGCTGCTGGCAGATTCACAGCACTAAAAATGCTAACTGCAATGAAGCCAAACCAAATTTTCATCTTGATGGAAATTGAGGATTTCCATTGCTTTTTGCAATTTGACTGAAGGGAGTCTCAAAATAAAGCATTTAGTCAACCATTAAAATGTTAAAATTATTCTAAAAGCTTAATATGCCAATTTCTGGAAGTATAAACAATGCTCTAGTCCTCAAAAGCATAAAGTTAAATGTGCCAATACTTTTTTTAAAAATTAAACAAAGATAGAAGATGCTTCTCAGCTATCTTGTACCTTTAAGAATGGGCTCCCTTATCCATTTCTGTGTCTTATCTGGCCAGTTTTAAATATGTTTAATTTAAAACCTGATATAGAAATGTGATGATTTTAAAAACCAAACTGACTTGTATTGAAAAGCAATATTTTGATAGGTCAACTGCGAGATCAAACTTAGTGATTTTAAAAAAATAACTAATAAGGGCACCCAATCCCTACCATTTTTCCCTCACCTAAAACACCTGCAGTATAAAAATATTGTCACCTCTTCTTGTGCTCCATCTCTTTGACCAAAACCCATTTCTACCCTTTTATAGTACTCTTATTCAATCCAACAGAAAGCACCTGTTTACATGTCCTAGCGTTATGCTGAAGATTTAAAATACCTCAAGAATGCCCATTCTTACTGGCATAATTCTTACCCATTTTCATCAGAAGTCACCTTTCTTTTGGCTAAATAGTACTATGAGACTAACAGTGATTACAGTACAAGCATGCTGGTTATAACTTGCTTGGCCCTGTCTGTCTGAATTCAACATGCTGGCTACCTTTTTTCTTTTCTTTCAGCTATTGAACATATTTACGCAAATGTATCACAACTGTTTTCTGATTTGCATTAGGTACTAGAACCATCCCTGCTTACATTTATACTTTTATTATACTTACGTCAACATTTATACTCTGCTTTTCTATGCAGGCACGCCCCTCAGTTCCTCACCTATGAAAACCTATGGGACCCCGTTTCCCCCCCCCCCCCAAGCTACCATGTAGTCTAGAGATGGGGAACGATAGCCGCTTTATGACTTATGGACTTCAACTCCCAGAATTCCTGCTGGCTCAGGAATTCTGGGAGCTGAAGTCCACAAGTCATAAAGGAACCATCGTTCCCCATCCTTGACGTAATCCCAGGTTTTCTCCTGTCTGTCTGACTCCCAGCCTAAGTGTTATTTCCTCTCTTCACACAGCTGCCAAAGACAGCCATCCTAACAGCTGTTCATTCACCCTGGCCTAGAACTCACCCTGCTATTACACATCCCGGCCAGTTTTTTTCTGTAAAAATACTTTATTGGGAAGGAGGAGAGTTCAACTCCCAACGACATGATTTCCTGTTTGTGTAGGAGCAAAGAAGTGTTCCTTAGGCCCTATAGCTTGATTTTTGCCTACAGCAATCAACCTCAGGGGAGGGTTGTTCCTGGCTCCCGGATAGATTCTGCCTCTCTTTGACAGTCGCCTTTTGATCATAGATGCTCTAATGGCACTGAATTCCACAGTGGAAACTAAATCCACCCCCCTGGGGGACGAAGGCGTGGAGGGCAAGGGTATGTTTTGGAAGAAGGAGTGTCCTAAGCATTGCAAACGGGCTTGCACATTGGGTCTCACCGGATAGGAGGAAGAAAAGGGAGCATGAGAAACAGGCAGCTCACCGGAGACAGTATGGATTTCCTGCAGATGTAGCCTCAGGCCCGGCTTCCTACCTACCATACTGGTGAGCTTGGCATGATTGGCAGTAGGCTCCTGGGGGTTAGCAGTCAATTCTTGAGAGCTTGATTTGGCACAGAGCTGAGCTGTACCTCCTGTCACGACAGTCGTGGTAGCCATACTGTGTGCCATCAGCAACCTTCGGTTACGGGGTTCTGCTTTGAGCTTGTTGGGCAGCTTAAACCTCACCGAGCCTGAAGGAGCAACTTTGCTAGGGGTGGGTTTCTCTTTGACTTTGTTCTCCTTCCCAGGAGCTCCTGGCTCGGCGGTCTTGTTGTTCGCTGCTGTCCAGCATGGGGTAGGTGCCCGAGGAAGACTTTGGTTATTGCGCCGGTGAATCAGTTTAGGAACTTTTTGCTGCTGTGGAGCAACACAGCCATTCTTTGGGTCAATAGCCGGAGGGGGGCTTCTTTGGGTTGGAAGTTGAGGCTTCTTCACCGTGCTTCCTTCTACCAAAAGGCTAATGCCAATGTACTGGGGAATCTCCACGGCAGCCTGTCATGAGAAGAAGAGGATGATGGGGATTGGTCCATAGGTGGTATTCAGCCGGTTCGGGCCAGTTCTGGCGAACCGGTAGCGGAAATTTTGAGTAGTTCGCAGAACCGGCAAATACCATCTCTGGCTGGCCCCACCCCCCCCACCCCACCATTCCTTGTCCTAAATTCCCTTGTCTTTTTGCTCAGCTGATTTGTGTGGATTGCCGCACAACAACTAAACAACAGCTCTGCTCACCAGCACTGACACTGAAGGCAGTTTTGAGTGCTGCACGCACACACGAAGCTCTCTCTCATAGAACCGGTAGAAAAAGATTTGGAATCCCACCGCTGGATTGGTCAAAAGGAAACTATTCACTTCTTCCAAGGGCAAGTAAGAGCAGGAGAAAATATCTGACCAGTTGGTCAGATTTAGTTTGTATTTAGTCTGCTGCAAATGATAGAAAATATAGGTGATCACCACACCACAATTAAATGAGGTAGGATGCAGCACTTTGCTAGAGCCGTAGTAGTGCAGTAGTTAGAATGCAGTCTTGCATGCTAACTCGGCCTACTACCAGCAGTTCAATTCTGACCGGCTCAAGGTTGACTCAGCCTTCCATCCATCCGAGGTCGGAAAAATGAGGACCCCGATAGTTGGGGGCAACATGCTGATTCTGTAAACTGCTTAGAAAAGGCTATAAAGCACCGTGAAGCAGTATATAAATCTAAGTGCTATTGCTATCACTAATGTTATGAGATACAAGTAGTCCTTGATTTGTAAGCAGAAGTTTTGGTTGCTAAGCAATGCCAGTCATCACGTGATGGACCCAATTTTACAACCTGAGGGTCCCAGAGCCTGCTTTGAATGTTGATTTGCTTTCCCTCCTTTTCAATAAAAGCTTCCTTTTGAAACGCCAGGCTTTCAAGAGTCTACGCTTTTTTTGAAGGGATGGGGAGGCAGGTCTTACACTCACCTGTTTATAGATGAGCTCAAAGTTTCCTGTGTTGCAATTGCGATCATACTTGCGGTCAATGACCACCCGCAAGGTATCCTCCTGCACGTTGGCACACAGCCGGGTGGTGACAGACGTAGAGGCTGCCATGGTGGGGCTGGCATTGATCTCAATCAGCCACGGCTGGTAGTTTTCTCCAAAGAGAAAGTCTGCCCCATAAAGCTCAAAGCTGTTTTTGCGGAACTCCACGAGGTCCTGAGAGGTCTGTATGGCATGAATGATGGCCGCCTTCATGCCAGGCACAATCACCTTGGACCAGGCCTCGGGTGCCCCCATTTTCCTCAGGTGCATCTGGAATTGATCAGAGGACCACATGTTGTCTGAGGGCAGCTCAGAGTGGCGGTTCAGGGAATTCTCATAATGTTTCTGGATGGAGTTATTGCACAGGTGGATGGAACTGGGGTGAAGAAGAAGAAGAAGAATATAGGGTCAAAAATGGGGACCAGATTCTACGCAAAGGATTTTAACTCAGGATAGGTCAACTAAGTTGAACCTATAGGGCACATTTTCCTGTCTGGATCTGAAATTATAGAACATACTTTCTTTGGAATTGAGATCAGTCCTCCCATCCTGTTTTTTTTAGAAAAGTCATAAAAATACCTCATTTTACTAATCTTTCCTGTTGATATTTATCATGCTGATAATTGTGATTTGAGGTTCATAATTATTATATTTTATTTAGGGGTCCTTGGTGCTCTCGAGCTTGGTTGTTTTCTTGCAGACGTTTCATTACCCAAACTAGGTAATACTATTGGTGCATATTTAATTTTTTATACCCCACCTTTTATTACTTTTATAAACAACTCACGGCAACAAACATATCTAATACTCCATCCGCCTCTTTCCCCCTCCACAAGAACCACCCTGTGAGGTGGGTTGGACTGAATGGGAAGGACTAGACCAAGGCCACTTAAGGTAATTAGATTTTAATTACCTAGGTTTGTTTTATTCTTTTGATTTATTTTTGTTGTTTCCATCCTGCCTTTATTACTTGTAATTATTCTATTACTTGTAATAAACACGAGGTCAGTGATGGCTAACATTTTTGGGTTTGTTAAGAGTCTCCACATCTTTTTTACATCAAGGCGATGAAAACTGGATGCAGTATTTCAAGTGTGGCCTTACCAGGTTATTATAAAGTGGTCTATAACACTTCATGTGATCTTGATTCTGGCTGGCTTTTTTGGCAGTTGCTGCACCCTGCTGGCTTATATTTAAATGGTTGTCCACTAGGATTCCAAGATCCCTCTCACAGTTACTACTATTGAGCAAGGTACCATCTGTACCGTACCTGTGCATTTTGTTTTCCTTGCCTAAATGTTGAACCTTACTTACGTATAACTATATAAAGCTGCAAATAGCACTGCTTGAGAGTTTTCATATAGACTTCCTCAAACATAATATTTACTCTGGATTAACATGAATAATCCTGAAGATTATAAGGGACATCAACCCCACCTCCTCATTAAGACACTGAATAGATTAAAGAAACCGGTTCTTAATGAGATAGAAAATCTCTCTGCTTCTTCTTGCTCTTGTGTGCATCCACACATGGAATAATAGAGACCCGTGATGGAGAACCTGTGGCACGCATGNTTTTTTTTCATAAAACGATCTGGGACTTTTATAAAAACATCTGCAACTATATTAGAAGTAACAAAAAATTTAACCTGCTTATATTTTTCCTTGTCCCTGCAGAAGGTCTCATTCCCAGGCTAACATCTGCTTCTCTCCTTAATTTTTCCTTAGCATATAAGGTATTGACTTGTTAAATTACATTTTGTTACAGGTTGGGTCTATGCCTAACATGTATTTTGTTTTAGTTAGTTGGCAATTCTGCTGTAGCAACCTGGCTGTAGTACCGAAAGACTTCTTTCAATGAACCAGGTATGTTTATAACTACGAGGAACCGAAGCACAGCTGTCACGATATTTAAACACAAGGTGAGAGAGGGAATTACACAGACAACATAGAGGGAAATAAGTTGGGAGATCTGCCAAAGGAGGTAGAGAACTGCTGGAAAGAGGATTCAATAAGTATTTCAATGTCGAGCAGAAAAATCAAATGGTCAAGGAAGAAATTCATTGGGTTCATTAAAATAGCTGGAGGGAAGTTATCATCCTTGGGAAGAGATCTGATTACATAGTTGGGCCAGTCTGGAGTTGCAAGTTCGATATGGATTTTATTGAGGTCGGCAGGAAGGAAGAAAATCTCTGAAGGACACCTCCGAAAGGAGCCGATCGATATAGCACTTATCCTGGAGAAATATCAAGATACAGTAAACCGGTCCAAACTCGATGGCAGAAAATGTGACTTCAACAACAGTGTGGTCAATGCCTGGAATACACTACCTGACTCTGCTGTTACAACCCCAAATCCACATAATTTTAACCTAAGACTGTCTACAGTTGACCTTACCCCATTCCTAAGAGGTCTGTAAGGGGCGTGAATAAGTACACCGGCGTGCCTACCGTCCCTATCCTAATGTCTCCATTTATTCGTACAGATTTACTGTGCTCATATTTATGTTGATACTTATACCTGTTATCTTTTACGTTACGATGACTATTATGTTAATTATTGTGAGGTTTGTAATTACATTTTAATGAGCCGAGGTGGCGCAGTGGTTAGAGTGCAGTACTGCAGGCCACTTCAGCTGACTGCTATCTGCAGTTCAGCGGTTCAAATCTCACCGGCTCA